TTATAAAAATAAATAAATCTTTAATAAAAATTTAATTAAATATAACATCAAATTATATTATCTTAAAATATAACTTATTTATTTTAAGATTATTGCATTAAAAAAATGTTAATATTGTAAATTATGTTATTTTATAAAAATTAAATATTTTATTTAATTTTATTTTTATGTTATTTATTTTCTCTTACTTTTGGCAGTTATATATTTTAAATCAGAAGTGTTATGATTTTGGGAAGATATCGTTTTTTGTCAATAGTTGACTATAAATCTTCATTAATTAAGAAGTGGTGGATTCAAAATAATAAAACAAAATCATACTTATTTCAAACTACTTTTATATCATTAAGTAAACATCATTCAAACAGGTATAATATTCAATCATGAATTTATGTAATAATTTTTCACTTAAGAAAAATATAGATTTAGATTAATATTTATTTATATATTATGAATATTATTTTTTATATTCATATTTATAAATTAAAAATGAGATATTAATTTTAATTCTTTTTACTTTGTTTTTTTTTATGTAAAACTTTCTTAAAAATAAGTAATAAATTAAATAACAATTATTATTTCAAAATTGTCAATTTTCTTTTGATTAGATATTAATGAAAAATTTAAATAATGATAGTAGTTAATAAATAGTTAATAAATTATAATTATATATAATATAATATAATAGATAATATATTTCTTACATAATAAAATTAATAAACATGTATATTTTACAATTAATTCAATCATATAAGAATTTTTTTTTTCTATCTATGAATAAATATTTCAAACATTTTAAAGTTAGATTATATGTTTTTTATATATGTAGATTATATGTTTTAAATAAGTAGAATAAGTAAAATAAGTTGAATAAGTAGAATAAATAGATTATAAAATTTTAATTTGTTATTTTATCTAAGAATGTTAACGAAAATAAATTATTTTTTTTATAGGTGATTTATTTAATTTTTATTTAATTATTATTAATAAAAATTAAATAATTTTTTTATTTTTATAATAGTTTTATAAGAATGAAAAATCAAATATATTAATA